GGCCCCGACGTAAAAAGGAGCAACAATTACAAACGACGCGCTCCAGCGTCATTTCGCGCACCTCACTAAATGCGTGCGTTGCGGGTCTCATAAACCCTTTAATATCTCGATCGTCGACAAAAATAATGTTGTTGAAGCTTCCGCTCCTTCTTCCATGTCTTGTGTGCTTTAGAGTTCTCAGCCACCAAATAACTTTGCATTGTGGGTATATTTCAACAATCACTTATCGTTTAGATGGCGAATATGGATAGAATGTCTGGTGCGGAGTACCTAGCCTCCATTTATGGTACCGAGAAAGATAAAGTGAGTGTCTTCCATTTTTGCTTGCATGCGTTTCTAATTCTTTTTGAATTTTTCGCATGAGTTTTACATTGACTGCTATCTTTCAGAGGAGATCCTCTTTTACTTGCAAAATGTTTGTATCACATCATGAGTATTACGTTTTTAGGTTAATTGCTCATTTTTCTTCAAAATCGGAGCATGTCGACACGGAGACAAATGCTCTCGCACTCACATCATTCCAACATTTTCTCAAACAGTTCTTCTGAAGAATCTCTATCATAATCCTGTCATCGATATGCGCCAGGCTGACGCTTGCACGAAAGTAAGAGCTCATCTTATTCTCCTATCTAGTCGTAAAATTTTCGAATTGTTCAGGTCGGTATGATGAACAAAGATGAACAACAGTACTTTGATGAGTTTTTCGAGGAGATTTTTACAGAGATCAATGATAAATACGGAGAAATTGAAGAGATGGAGGTGAGTTTTTTGCTGTTTCTAATCTTCCTGTGATGAGGGAAAATGGCAGCTGTGCTCAACTTCGTTCTAGAAGAATGGAGAGGTTAATCTCTAGCCATTTGCATCCTGACTCTGAACGGTGTAGTTTATCATGTTCTGCTACAGCTAACATTAGCACAATGTTCGTGGCTACCGAAACTCTTTATAATTCGCTTGCCCTCGAGAAGTTTGTAACATAAAGCGTGCTAAATAGGTCGATATCGCCTCATAGTATTTCGTTGCCAGAATGCAGCTGTATTTGCTCTGCCTGTTCCATTGTGAAGAGAGTGCGGATAATAAGTCAATAATAATAATCAGTTATAATAAGACTCTTGGAATTTTCGATGAGCAACGATTCAATCAGAAACTATGCGTTTCGCGCAATTTGTTTGGATCCAAAAATTGTTAGGTTGTCCTAAAAGTAAACTCCTTTTCTATTTAATTAGTCTATTTATCATGCTGCCAGACTTGACATATTATTGGA